ACAAGTTGTACGCGAGCTTCTGTTCGGGCCAGACGGCGTGAACGCCGTCGGCAAACTCCTTGGCCTGAGCGTAATCAGGGAGCTTGCTCTCCATCCAGATCAGGTCCGCGAAGGGAGCATAGGCAACGGCACGGTTGATGGCGCACTGTGTGCCTCCCTGGTACCGGTAGTAGCCCTCCCGGGTACGGGGAGCATCCCAGTCCCAGTAGATATCAACGCCAGTGATGCCCTTGGCGATAGCACGAGCCTCGCTGTTGCTCTTGCCCTTGACGGCAGTCAGGTACTCCTTGATGAGGGCATCCTTGTTGACGTGCACGCCCTGCTTGATGGTGTCGACGACAGCATCGTTGAACAGCTTCAGACCAGCCTGGGCAGTCCATTGATCCTCGATGGCCTGGAGCTCTGCACCAGACCTGCCGGCCTGCTCAGCCGCCACCATGAGGTCGTTCAATGGCTGGAGGTTGGGGTTGGTCGAGCCAACGATGAAGGCGTGGTCGCGGTGGTCGATGGTAGAGGTGATGAGTGTCGCGGCTTCCGAGTCGGTACGGGCAATGGCAAGCAGGTCGGTTCCTGGGATCTTGTCAGCTGAAATTCTGGTGAAATGACATTCTGCGAGTGTCTACTCACCCATGATATCTGCCTGCGCGCGGATGGCAACCAGACGGTTGATGTGCTCGTTGATAGGGACAAGGACCTTTCCGGCCATGTGACCACACTTTTTAGTACCAGGGGCCTGATCCTCAATGTGAATACCAGCGGCTCCTCTCTCGACGAACAGCTTGGTCAATTTCATGACAGCTGTGAGACCACCATGGCCGGTATCAGCATCGGCGATAATGGGGCGCAGGTAGTCGACGTTGGGAAGCTTGCTCCGCTGGTCCTTGGGGGTTGTGATGCGCTCCTCACGTTGTTTCCGGTCATGGAACAGCTGCGCCATGAACAGCTGGTTTACCTTGTTGGGGACGGTGTTCTGCGCAATCCAGAATCAGCACTAGCGCAACAGAGCTTCGATACAGCGCCGAGGCGGAATATGAGCTTACCATGGGATAATCAGCAAGATCGGGGGAGGGCTCATCGGTGGACGAGGCGGTGGAAGAACTCTGCCAGCCGGAAACGTAGACGGTGTCGAGGTACTTGGCCATCTGGGTGAGCATTGTTGGTTCGAGACAGCCATAGGTGAAACTGGCAACTTTGTTCTGGCGGGAATTAAGGTCAGTGCTGATTTCCCTGTCACTTGCTTCGAACCGACGTACCTCAAAGTTGCTTTCCAGTATCTTCCAGAGCTTCTTGCTCTGGTCATTGGAAGGGTACTGAATCTTCAGGTTTCCACGCTTCGCCACGATCTGCTCTGCAGTGTACGGGCGTTTTGTGTATCTCCATCTCGAGTCTGTCCACCAGGCCTTGACGGCTTGGACGTCGTCCAAGTATTTCTGATCTTCGTCTTCAAGGAAACCCATTGTGACGGCTATGAAGAGAATTCAAGAAGTGAGAGTGGGAACGATTATGACAACAGAAAGTTTAATTCACAGCAGCAATGTCACAGTAGCTAATCCTACACTAGGAGGGACATGCAAGACAAGATATAAAAGGAGAACCGAACCCCAGAGAGAGAAGAGAGAAGAGAAGGTGAAGATGAAGAAGAACAGGTAAGAAAAAGAATTGCACTCGAATCCAGAGTCACAAGCCAAAAGCCAGGGTACTTATTACCTTCGAAGCATGCGCCATCGCGAATGCGTCAGAAGGTCTATGGTCGGTAATCGCTCGGCTCAGCGGGACAACGAGGAATCCAATGCGGGCCGGCCATATGAGCATTGCACTATTATTGAACAGAGTACCCAGAGAGTTTCGAAACCGCGGGGATTAATTCGTCGACTTGGTCATCAGGAAATTTGGGTTAACATGGTCCAAATTCACAAGCTAGCCCCGAGAATCGGGCACGCTAACTGGTGGTGGTTCGGGAGAGAGGATCGAGACTTGCTGATGATCCTCGGTCTAATGGACGCAGCAGTACTCCGTGTATTCGACTCCAATCGCCACACAACCATTTTGCATTGCGACTGACTGATATAATGTCGATTTTTAGTATCTATAGCTAAATACCATTCAATGGTCAAGAATATCAACTTAATCCGAAATTCCATGAGGGATATGCTTTGGAGCTGAAAAGCGAGGATCTCAAATGCCACAGTGACGTAAACACATGTGCTAGATTGTCATGACAGTACATGACAGTATGAAATCTCTAGATCATACTCCAACCTCTAACAGTCCAAAAGCACACTTCCCTTGACACCGATTCTCGGAGCTTTGAACGACCCTGTCAATCGTTATCGAAACCCTCAATATCCTACTATGCTGAAAAGGAATATATCCCGATTGTTCCTGTCCTTCTACAATTCGGTGGACTCGGTGCCGATATCAGAACCTGAGTCATCTCAGGTATCCTGTCAGACCCCGGTAATTGTAGGTACCCCACATACGTACGGTTACCGTCGCGGAGCTTAAATCATGACTCAACCTCAGGTGTCTAGTCATTCCTCAGGCAGTAGCTACTACGACATAGAATATTGTGCCTCGAGAGTAGACACTCTCATTTTATCAGAGAAAGTAGATATAAGAACACCACAATTGTACAACAAAGCCTTACAATACTTCGAAATGTAATCCGTATCTACCGCTGAAACAAACAACCACGAATATCGAGAAAGTGCTAGCAACCTTACCTAGGTAGGCATCAACCTCGGCCCAGCGAGCACCAATCACAGGCCCGGAACACTCCCTGAGGGTGACTCGCATCTGTCCAAAAGAACCACGAAAATCAGCCTCGGGAAAACAAGGAGGTGGAATTCGTCCTGCTCCCGTTTTATTGTCGACGAAAATGCCATCATCGCCTTCCTGGTTGACGCCTCGATGCTTGATATGCGCGTCTCGCCAGCTGGGTGATGTAGGGTGGCTGTTTTGGGTATATTTCCTTTTTGGAGGTCAAGATACTCTGGTGTGTGGAAAGTTCACATGCAAATCGTATATCAGATCGCACCTGTCAAACTGTCACGAGCCATATTGCTATAACAGGCACCTGGACTAGTATGAGAACTTCTCGCCTACTAATTCCTCACTCAGCTTCCACAATCGCTCAGCTTCGATCGGACTCGTAGCCCATGGTTTGACGGTGTCAACCCACGGGTCTGCAACATGGCAGTCGATCAGGTACTTGCCGTTGTGTTCTAGGCTGTGTCAGACTGAGCAACTCAAACCTTACTGACGGGGATCTTACCAGCAAGGTCAGGATCAAAAGCTGCATAGATATGGGTCGCGACGCCTATCTCCAGTGGTTTGGGGTCCAACCCCTTCCAGCCTTCGGGGTTACCCTGCGCGCGATCGAGAGCACCTGTTCTGTCAGTCCCAACTCAAAGCACCATGAGGCCCTAGAAGATGAAGGGCACATACCGAGCTCCTCGAAGCTCGAGTTCAGATCTTCAAGATGGTTCGCGATATTCGTGAAGATCACCCCCGGGTGCAGACTGAACGCGAGAAGATTCTTGGACGCAAGCTTCTCAGCCAGAGACATGGCCATGAGCATATTCGCCGTCTTGGCCTGCCCATATGCAACCCATCTATTATATACCTTGCCATTCTGACGACATATTGTCAGCCCCCTGCCCACCACCCTTAAAGAAACAAACACTCACATCAAAGTTATAATCAGCAAATCTGATCCCACTCAACCGATGCCCATCACTAGCAACCATGACAACCCTCGGACTCCTCGCCGCCAGAACCTTGCCCATAATCAGGTTCGTAAGCAGAAACGGGCCGAGATGATTCGTCGCAAACTGCGACTCTACCCCCTCCCCGGAAAGCGCGTACTCCGTCGCCATAATGGCGGCGTTGTTAACCAGCACATCGATAGCGGGGATATCGGGCCAGGAGTTGATCTGCGCAGCGGCCTGCCGGACGCTTTCGAAGGACCCCAGATCGATCTCGACGACGCGGGTCTCCACGCTTGGATGCGACGCCTTGATCTCGTCGGCGGTCTGCTGGATTTTGCTCCTGTTGCGGCCGGCCAGGATGAGACAGCTTGGTTCGGCGGACGCGATGGACTGCACGAAGTAGCTGCCTAGACCGCCGGGGGAGACGCCGGTGGTGAGGATGACTTTGCCTTTGATGTGGCTTGCATAGTTCTCGACTAGTACTTTGGCGGGTGTGTTGCTGTCGAAGGGAGGCATGGTTGTATGTGCGAGGAGTTCCTAGATTGAGGTTGTGGGGTGTGCATCTTGAGAAGACATGAGATTATTTATGTCCGTAGAACCATGCTGGATAGTACTTTTGTATTATCGTGCTCCACCAAGACGGCTCTCGGGGTTAAAGCAGAGATGACATCCCGCTGTTTACCATGAGGCGGAGATATTTTGTTTATCTCCGTTTCAAGGCAGGCTTTGGCAAGGTGATGATGTCTTCACGCTGGGATTAGATTCATTGGGATGCAAAGCCTGTGAATCAGGCGATAGGTTGAATTATTCAAATGAAATCGATTATACCTATAAAAAGTACTCTATCTGGATGTTCCCGCTAGAGACGAGTAATCTTGTCTCCTTGCAAACAGGTGGCAATTTAAGTAAATGACTGGAACATGGAAGGCAAGGAATTCAAATGGTGAGACAGAGCGTAGACGAGGAAAACAATTCTCCATCCCTTTCTGCTTATGCTGACATGACTTGAGAAGAAACATGCCGACTGGGACGACATCAGGATAGCATCTGAAAAAAATCCAGAACCTTCACTTCAAACTCCATGGTGCCTGAAAGGGTCATCCGCATCCGATTCACTCGTAGTGAATATTGAGAAAAGATTCGCAATTTGGCAATTAAAATGATAATACTGACGAAACGAGAAATCAATCTGCCGCAGACCATGACGGATGCTTCTCTAACCAGCAGTAGAAGATGCTCCGAAGAAAGGAGAGCCTGAAAACTGAAAGTAGCAAGCGTCGAATCACTGATTTAATAAGCGTCCTGCACGGCTATAGCTTTGATGTATGTCTCCCAAGGGGTGATGGCTCCCAGCGCACGCCGTTGATGGGCGTTGAGGAACTCCTGACCGTACACATAACTGGCGTTAACCCAGCCAAACCTGTATTCAACTGTCAATGATCTGGCGCGTGTTGCTGAAGACGGAGCACACTTACCCTTCTCGAGGCGCACCCTTGAAATCTACACCCTGGTTGCCATATTCGGCATCGACCCGGTGTGGATCGATAGGCCGAGTGACATCGTATTTCTCGACGACAACACCGTTAAAGTCAACGAAGGCCTTAGTAATCATGAACAACCACTTGTACGCGAGACGCTCAGCTTCCTCCTGGTAGCCGTATCTCAGCAGTCCCGTCCATGCCAACATCTGCTGCGGAGCCCAGCCGTACGGGTAGTCCCATTGCCGGTTAGGTCTGTCCAGCCCTACAGCGCCGCGGGACTCCTCGGTTCCGGAAACCAGACCACCGTAGACTTCGAACCTTGGCAAAGCCTTCCTCACCATTTCTGCCGCCTGGTGCGGCGTCGCAAGTCCGGCCCACATGGCCCAGAATGTTGTGGCGCTCTCATAAGTGGTTCGCTTCTGCAGAACCGTGTCATAGTCAAAGTACATGCCCTTCTCATCATCCCAAAGGTAGGTATCCATCCGCATCTTGCGTCTTCTTGCACGACGATCCCACACGGAGGATGACTCACTTTCGATATCCTTGGTCGACTCGGTGCGGAATTCAGGAGGGATTTCTAGCCTGTCTTTGAAATAGGTCCGGATAATCCTGGCGATATCAACCTCGTACTTGTACAGAAGAGAGTTCAAGTCTACCGTGGCCAGATTAGCGCAGACTCTCTCGAGACGGTAGCTCGTATCGTGGCCCGATTCACGGACTGCTCTATCGTGCAAGAAGTACTCATCAAGCTCAGGTTCCTTGACCTTGCCTTCGTTGTAAGCCTGGACAAACTCCTTGAACTCCATACCATGCTTTTCAGCATACGGAGTGAGGATATGCGTGAAATGAGTCGGTTCGGTTTCGGGAGGAACGCCCTGTCCTTCGGGACGGTACCTGGACAGACCCGACAGCTCGTCATAACGCGGTTCAGCCGTCCAGACGCTGTAGTATTCCTTAATCGCAGCGAGTGTTGCGTTACGAAGGAATTCCATTGCGTCCGGCTCGTTCTTGATACGCTCATAGACGCGCAGGGCCATATCGGTCAGGAACGGTGGCTGAGAACGAGTTAGGTAGTATGAGCGGTTGGCATTCAATATCTTGCCGTAATGCTTGATACAGAAGCAAAAGTTGATGACCATGGCCTTGGCCAAGTCCACTCTGTTGCTGACCAACAAGCCTAGAGACTCCATGTAGCTGTCCCACCCATACAGCTCGTTGAATCTTCCTCCTGGGACAACGAACGGCACACCAACGTATTCGGTCTTTTGGGTGGATTCATTGTACTTCTTCTGCATTGCCAACGCAAGCAATCCAGGCTTAGAGTTAAGATCCCTCACGTACTCCGGTGTAATCTTCGCGTCCAGCATCTGCACATCAAGGCGCAACTCGGGGTGCTTCTCAGCAATCCCCTTGTAGTACTCGAACTGCTCGGGGGCACCGGGGGGAACATAGATTCGAGGCCGCGGATCACCAGTCCAGTCTTTGGGATCCCTGCCGGCGACCTCAATATTGGAACCATCGATGCGACGAGTCAGGGCGTTCCAAAATGAATTCTTGATAAGGCGAGATAGACGCGAAACTGGGTTCTCACTCAAACGAGCTTCGTCGAGAATGATGTGCTTCCGCCCATAGTCTTTGGCGATGGTGAGCTCCTGGAGAAGATTGGAAAGCATGTACGTTCCTCGCACATCGAATCTGTTAAACCCAGATGATGCGGCTGTTCCTACGGACAATACCTGAACAGCACAAATCAGCCGTTGCTCGAAGCATGACTTGCACCATTCTGTGCCACTGAGGAGACCCAGGCACATACCTTGGGACCAACATCCTCAATTGTTATCTGCATGTTCCTGTCCGTATCCTCCCGTTCCAGCAAGCTTTGCAGGGTTGTATCGACATCGATAAGGAACTTTCGTGGTTGCGCTGAGAGCTCATCTGTTGAGCACGTGCAGGTCAGTCACCGCTTCTTTGCTCGGCCTGTTCTTCGCAGGAGCTTCGGATACGCACCATGGCTGCCTCTTCTCGCTGGAATTTTGCCCAGAAGATCCTGGATATCCTCACGGTTGAATGCTTTCAAATTCTATGCATACCACCGAGATTGGTCAGCGGAATGCCCGCGGTCTCCGATCTTTCGTAAGCATGTTGCAACTCACCGAAGAAAACGCACGCCTGCGGTCCCGAATCCGCGCAACTGAGTCCTCATCACCATAATAAATGTCAGGATCAGAAAATGGATCGAGAGAATTCGTTCGTTGATGCTGCGTATTCGACGAGCTCATCGTCTGTCGGTCGTGGAAGAATTAATGGAAGGGGTCTCGGACTCAGGAGTCAAAAAGGCTAAAATAAGAATGATCAGAGCAAGGATTGTTGGGCTGAACGTGGTAAAGCGAGAGCAATGACCGCGCCAAAAGTCCTCCGTGGCGTTCGTTCTGTGTTCCTTGGAAATTGCTTTGATTCTTGGTGTCTGAATTCCAGATTGCAACGCAGAGTGAAAGTCCACGGGTGATAAAGACGAAGGGAAAATAGACAAAAGAGAGTTCCACACGAATTGGCCACACCGATCAATTATTAGTTACCAGAGACAACGGAGGAATGACAACGTGCCGTGGGGGGGATGCACTATTATTTTTTTCTTTTTTCGGATTCCGCTTATTTTGCTTTCTTTCTTTTTCCTGTCCAAGAGACTTCCGAAGCTGAACTTTCTGAGTAATTCCTGGACCATTCCATTCCGACAATGATAAGAGGTTCTTGTGCTGGTATGACGGCATAAGTGAACCGATGATGTCGCCGCTCCACAGGGCCCATCACTACATCATTGCCGCTCATTACTATGTTTCGTAGGGTATCTTGACAAGGGTATGCTCAAATTAAGAACGAGCAAATGGAGGGGGAGGGGCAATATGAAATAATCCCATCGAATCAAGAAATCAAAATAACAGATCGGAGCGCAGAATAAGGGGGAAATGCATCGAAATTGGTTGGTTACGATCAAACGGTTGCATAGAAATTTACCGGTGTCGACCAGGGGGGCACATGATAGATCGAAGGCTTGTACCAGAGGTATCACAAATATCAATCCAATATTAACTCTGAGTCATTCCTCGCTCTCGGGAAGATCAGATTGTTCATTCATATCCCACGCCGGTTCACTATTTCGTATGGTATCGTCTAAAACTGTTCAGTGTTTGAGATCTATGTTCAGCAATAGACCCAGCAACGACTCTGTCGTCCCCCTCAAGGCGTTCACCGGGAAGCAGTATCGCACGATCGAGTTGGACCGGCAGCCCGCGATGGCGTCCTCGTATCATCATGGCACAGATAACGATTTTGCTAAAGACGCTAAACTGTCCACAAAAGGAGGTTGACACATTAGGGTATCCCAAACTGAGACCAACGTTTCCACTGCAATGCGTTAGACATCTTCAGAAGAAAAGGAATAAATCCAATACTTACTATGCAGAGACAACCTCAAAAAATATGGCAAACACACTAAAGGCCTGCAAGATGTCAGTTGTGCGAGCTTTGAAAAAGGAAACAAGACTGGAAACCAACAGGTTCGGAAGGATCCATGATCCTGCGTGCCTCGGTGGCACAGATACAGAAAATCCCGAGAAATATATACCACAGGTCAAAGCTAAGTTGATTGCGCATATGCGTTAGCACGTAGTTCATGCCATTGCTCTCATCCAGTTCAGCGTGATCAGAAGGATATAACCCAAGTGCGCTTTCTTCGTATGTATTCGAAGCACGGATGCTGATGGCAATTGGAAAAATCGAAATGTACATCATGACTAGTAGGCTGAATTGAACTGCAGGGTTCACTTCTGCAAGGTTGAAGGACGCAGTTCCGGTATGGCGTGCTGAAGCAGCCTGAAAAATGGCCGCAAGGACACGCTGCCCACCAGATAAGGTGTTGATGGCTGGATTATGGAGATCAAGAACCACAATGAGCAAGACGTCCACAAAGTTCAACACAAAAAGGATTCCGAAGAGCACCCATGTAGGTCGGCTACGAAAGAGCAGCGTGTAGCAACGGCGTGGATAATTCAATAAAAAGCTCAGCGGCTCCCTGACGAGCGAGTGCTTCGGGGCGCATTTGAACATGATCCAGATGATGAGGCGTAGAAAGCAGGGGTACATAGTATGTCCTGCGTAGGCGAGGAAGCTCAATATGAACATCGGGAATGCCGCATCTCGGAACAAGATCATCGAGTCAGGAGTGAGTGCGAATCCTAGGTTGTCAACCATCGTCTGGGCCGTGTACAAGGCCCTGCCAGCGGCGAATATAGTGAGCCTTGATCCTGGACTGTCAAAAACTCACGCAGGAGCAAACCTACCACCAGATTTTTCCTTGCCCGCAATCCTTAAGATAGTCCCTGTATTTGGGATCCGCATTTTGAATCCAAGGCACAAGGCAAATGACACCAAAGACGTGAAGGCCAACAAAATAGCCTATGCTCATATGTCAGATTCTCCCTGTTTGAGCTTGAGGTAATTCTTTTCTCACCAAGTGTTATCTTCAAAAGTAGCCTGAGACTGCGATACTCTATTCCTCCCAGTTTCTCTCTGTCTTCCGAGGTCAGGTTGTAAAATCGTGAGTTTCTGCCGAGACTGGCTTGTGAGGAAAGGTATGGCAGCTCCGAGTCTTTAGCAAGCGAGATGCTTCTTCTAGACTGTCGCTCTTGAGATCTAGAGGGATAAGCCCCGAGCACAAACATCGAGGAAGCAACACGCTCGAGCGGGATGCTGTTGACCAAACTTCGGTGGCGAGCTATATCAGTTTGAGGATCGTCATCTTCGGAGGGTTTGAAATGGTCTGGTTTTGAAACAATTGTATTAGTGTTCGTCTTCCTTTTAAGACGCGAAAACTATACGGTTGTCATCCATCTCCGTGATAGCAAGACCTAGACCCTGTTAGCGCAGAACTGAGTTACTCAACTCAAAACCAGGGATTACCTCTATCGTGTTCGCGCGGCGAGGGTATATATAAAGCTTTCGAGTTGTCTGCAAAGGAAATTTGTCTGTGTTTGGTCGAGTTGTCGCCGCCGTTGTTGTCATTCTCCGTGATGATGCAATCATGTTCCCTGAAAACGCTCCTTGATGGTTAACAACCCAGTCGAAAGACGAACAAGTTAGTGGAAGCACTCACTTATCCAGCTTAGACAGATCATCAAATAGAGATTTCGAGTGCGACTTCGCTGTATTGGCTTCTGAAGGGCCACCAACGTTGAACTTGGCTGGTTGCGCTTCTGGATCTTTCTGGTGTGATGATTCTGATCGCAGAAGAGTAGGCGCTTTGCGATGTGAGCAACCCAGAAAGCCTAGACTGAATTGAAAAGCGGCAGATGAGCTATAACACATACCCAATTTATTCAGACGCTTCTCGAACCAGTACAGTCGCACAACGACCACCAGAATATTGATGAACCCGGCGTTGGACACAATGGGAACAAAGTACAGAAATAGCTGTTGATAGGTCTTCAGCTCCTTCAAATCAACGCTATTTTTGATCGCCTTTTTTATTAGCAAGGTATCTCCATGGGCTTCGGGGATGAGGTCAACATACGGGTTCAGTCCCGATTCTGTCGAAGAGCTCACTCCGAAGAGGTAGGCATCAATTGCACTTAGGTTGCCGTATGGATAGAGGATAACAATCCCTAAGATGCCCAGAGTAACAATATATGCATCTATATCTGATGAGCTTGCATGAAATGATGTAAGTCAGATAAGGTTAGTTAACGCACAATGCAAGGTTATGAAATTAACTGTTGGCCTCCACATTCCCTTAGATCTCGACAACTTGAGATATTAGCCTCGCAACCAGATCGCCGATACTTCTAGGGTCGAGTCCAGGAATCAATGCTAGCCCGAATACCCTTAGAGGCTTTTGTTTCGTTCAATAGAAGACCCTGATGTAAAGCGTTATTATATTGGCCTCACACTGAATTCGCTCATCAAAAGCTTTATAGTATAGAGAGCTCTAGCTGAGGGATTTACCAGACCAATCCGAATCTCACGCCAACAGCAACCCCACGCGACTATGAGAGCTCCTCTGCTTTCATAGCGTTTCGGATGTAAGAGGCAATTATCTCATCCACTGGTGAATAGATGTCGGAACACGAGCTCTCAAGATCTTCGTACTGAGCCACCGCCATGGGTTAGCAATGATGAGATGTGAGGGTTGCGAGGACGATCTGTCAGCCTCAAAGCTCAATTTGGTCATGGCGAGACTTACATTTACCTATCACAACTTTTAAGAAACGAGGGCATCGAAGATCTGCTCAGTCCGCTCCTTGACGCTGGGAAGTTGCGTGGGTCTATTGACGCCAAGGCAATATTACGCTCTCTGAGACGGGGGTTAGGGTGATTATCTCACGAACAGAAGGGTCATGCAAACTCCTAGAGATCGACTGAAGTGCATTAGTTAGATCAGACACGTGGATATCTTTCCCCCCCTGTTTAGCTATCCATTGCCAGAGGACCAAGACTTGTTGCACGCAATCCCTGCTCAACTGCTCATGAAAAGTGGAAGGCAACCACAGTCCATGCAATGATCTGAGATATACTCGGCTACACCTGCTTAAATAGGGTATGAAAGGCCATCCATTCGAACGCTTTTGCTTTCTAATCGGCGCTAAGCTGGTTGTGTTTGCTGTCTACATCTTCGCAGCAATCGCGCTACCACCGTCCACTGTGATCGTCGCACCATTGATGTACGCACCAGCCCGGCTGCTGAGGAAAAGGCAAGCACCGGCGACATCCTGAGGCGTGCCAATACGGCCTAGTGGGTTAGCACCTTCGATAGCATCACGGAATTTCTCCAAGGTGGCAGCCATCATCTTGCTCTGGAAGGGACCGCAAGCCAGGGTGTTGGATCTGCCGGAAAGACATGTTAGTTGCCTTCTTCGATGCACGTAATCAGCACAAGGTGTACGAACGTGATATTCCTCTTGCCAAGGTGATTTGCGAGGACACGGCTCAGATGGTGCAAGCCAGCCTTGCTAGCACTGTATGCGAACGTCTCCAGAGCCGGTACTCTCAATCCATCAATGCTACCGATGTTAATGATACGAGCTGGATCATTCGGCGCACCGGCCTTCTCGAGAAGAGGCGTAAGGAGCTTGGTGAGGTCGAAGACTCGGTGGAGGTTCAGAGTGAGGACTCTGCTCCAGGCCGATGAGGGATATTCATCGTAAGGAGCACCCCAGTTTGACCCGGAGTTGTTAACGAGGACATGAAGCTCTGATAGCGCATGAGATTAGCCTTCCGCCTGATCAGCTCTTCCGAGTCCAAGACCAACTTACTGCTTTCACGCTTGGCGATCTCCTCGGCTAGTCTCTTGCATTCTTCCTCCTTGTAGAAGTCGGCGGGAATGGCATACGCCTTGCCCCTGCCAATTGCATTCAGCTCCTTCGCGGCCTGCTCGCAAGCCTTGGCATCTCGAGACGAGATGTATACTGTTGCGCCGTTGGTGACGTATCCTTCAGAGATCATGCGACCAATGCCTTTTGCTCCGCCGGTGACCAGCACCACCTTGCCCTACGTAATTGTTAGCAATCTGCAAGATACTGGTGTGCAAAGGAAGAGCGCCAATACTAACCTCCACATTGAAGAGACTCTGGGTATCCATGGTAATAGTAGTGTCAAAAGGAATTCTAAGTCGAGGAAAAAATTTAAAAAATGAAGAAATTGAGATGCGAAGAATATTTCAAGGGGGATGTGTCTCCAACATATTCAAGGCGAGGAGAACGCTCCTCATATAGTCTAGCTATGATGCTTATCCGACGACCGAGAGACTGTTGCACGGCTTGGCGAAGAATACCGAGGCTGTTCGGAGCAGGAACAATAGAGGTACCGGCTAATTCACGCTATGCCTAATTTAGGAAAGTCCAGTGCAGTCTGGGCTATTGTGTGGGGTGGGGGAACGAGTTCTGTTTCATGATTATTATTTGAGTCGCAGTTGTTCTACAGTTGTATGGCGTTGGTACCATAGATGGCATTATCGGTTTCAGCATCTCTTCATTGATTCTTCTTGCATATTGACTCATTCTAATCTTGCTTTTATACCCTTAGATTATAAGTTTTACACTTTACCTTCCTTGCATTTTGCCCCGCATTCTTTTCAAAAATGGAAGAGGTATTAGCCAGACATCGCAAGGAGCAGAAGGATCTTCAGGCGCGCATCACACAGAAGAAGAAATCAGCTACAAAGAAGACACGTCGAGGGATAAACGAAGAATGCGAGAGGCTGCAGCGCGAGCTTTCCGATCGTCAACAAGCTGAAATTGCAGCGTTCAACGGCGAACCCGTCCAGCCAGTTGATGGCTTCGAGGACCTTAGTCTTCGCGAGCCCGATGTTGAAGATGGAAGTACAGGAGAGAAACCCACAGCGGATGATACACAAGGCACAGACAACCTCCCCGAGTCTTCAACGCCGGACTCGACTGCGGCATCCCCACCTGCCTCCGCCCCGCGTACGAAGAAACCGAATCGACAGAAGGCTCGTCTGGCACGTCGGGCAGCGGAACAGGCGGCTCAGTCGGCGCTTGCCGCAGAAGAGGCCGCAAACCAGGTCGACCATCGTGGAAACGAAAAGGAGGTGATGGAGGCTGTTTACAAACGGCTTGGCTTGAAAGAGGTGGAAATCAACCCAGATGGGCACTGTTTGTACTCTGCTATTGCCAATCAGTTGGATGAATCAGGGCTTGGGCTCAGGCCTGATCCACAAAGGATAGTCATTCAGCCCCAGACACAGTCTCGGATTGATACGGTTGCTTCACCCAGACATGATGGCTACAGAGCGGTTCGAGCAGTGGCAGCGGATTTCATCGTCGAGCACAAAGATGACTTCGAGCCCTTTATGGAGGAGCCGTTGGATTCGTATACCCGGAAGATCAAGCTTACAGCGGAGTGGGGTGGACAGCTGGAGCTGCAGGCAATCGCTCGGGCGTATGGAGTGAACATTAATGTGATTCAAGGCGATGGCAGGATAGAGAAGATCGAAGCCGGCGATATGGATGGGATTGATGAGGAGGAAAGAAATAAGCGGGTCATTTGGTTGGCATACTACCGGCATACGTACGGGCTTGGCGAGCATTATAATGCACTTACGAAACAATCATAGAGCAGTCATTCTCAAAGGAGAAACCTGTGCCTTGATATCTGGTTCTCGAATCTGCTAATTGCTCATGCATCTCGTGATCGTTGTTGGGGTGCCGAATCATGCCACAAGAATAAAAGGATTGATGAGCTAGTTCCGGCGGCGCCATATCGATACTCGGTCTTGAACCTCTCCCTCCTCATTCTTCCCGACCTCGTGCGTCCGAGCTGGTTGCCAATATGCCACACGCTCAAGCCCCTGTGTGCTTGGCGCTTTTGATGGGTCAATGCTACATTGACGATTTGCATCATATGGGATCTCTTCCCCAGGGTGGCTCAGGTGTGCCATATAAGCCTCGGACGTAGAGCCCCATGGAGGGCCCTGCAGTGATGGATCCTTGTGCCTTGGAAATTCAAGGCAAATGAGATGCCCAGGCGGCGAATCTGCCAGAAGCTGGGTGTGCCTGAGCGCCCATTGTGGGCGCATTGACGGGTTCAGGGCGCAAAAGAACTATCGGCACAGCAGTTTAGCGAGAGAAGCACAGTACGACAATATAGAAGCCAATTGACTCTGCTCCTGACACAGAAAATAGAAACCAGGCCGGATGCATTGGGCAAAGGTCTTCCGAGATCCACATACCGTGTAGTCGTAGATTAAATCGAAAGAATTCCGAGTCAAGTGCAGTTTCTCCAACCAAGCATCCTCGAAGAAGTCACCCTGCACGAAGGTGATTTTGCCTTGACCAATCTCCGCGTCCCGTATGGGATACTTGTCCCCATTCATTGCCTGTTCCTCCTTACACACCTCAACGGCAGTGGCGCTATATTCCAGACCGTAGGCATCATACCCGAAACTGGCCAGGAGAAGCACATCGACACCTCTTCCGCACCCTGGAACTAATGCCTTCTTCCGGTACGTGTTGCCCTGCGCATCTTGGGCAATGGGGCTTCCGATGATCGAGCGCTTTTCGATCAGGGTATCCTCCAATGCTGGGTTGGGAAATCCTCTGTCCCAGGGGAGACGGTCACCCTCACTCTTATTCCAGAGCTCAGCCCATCCTTGGACGTAATCCTTGTCCTTGTATGTGGCCAGGAATTCCGGGATGCTGGGAGGGAGCTTGGGGCCGTTCGACATGATGGTTCAATGAGATAAGACGAAGCCGATAGCGATTTGTGAATCTAGCACGTCCGCGAATCAAGTCTCGAAGTTCATATATAGTAGGAGGCGGGGAATGGTTTCGGGGAACCGGTTCGGTCAGTCTACCCAAATTGAAGCTTCCCCAGGATTTCAATCGCCGATCTCTCGGATCTCTCTCATAATGACTAATGATTCATAAGCGAGGTTCGTCAGAAAGAATACAATCAATCATATTGCTCCTGTAAGAGAATATCATCATGCTTTACAGAATTGTGGTAAGGGAAGAACTTGGCCGAATGTTTTTGTAGCATGTTAGGTCGAGCAGCAAATGAGACCAGTGATCAGAGATAATCCTAGGCATCTCGAGAGCACTCCGTTATATCTGATTGATGCTAAAAATCAAATCATCTAAACGTGCATCGGATACATATCACTGGAATTACACCCTGGAACATACAGAAACTAGTTATATTTCGAAGCTTTTGTGAGACACTTGGATGCACTGCTACAAGATCCTCCTAATGACTTTGCAAGTCTAATTTTCGCAGAGAAGATTTGTGATAGATTCACATTCATTGACTCAGACTGTGGAGCAGTCGAGTTCAATCATTTTATGCTACAGGAATCGCCATTCCATCTCCTCTGGGGTCACTTCCAGCACTGTAGACCAATTGTCCATCGTCGTAATGACAGCGAATGATCTGTCCGCGACCAAACATTCCCCTCTGCCACCCGGTCAGAACCTTGACTTGGTGTCCAAGCTGCTTGAGACCTTCAATCGCTTCTTCACTGATACCCTCCTCGATATAGACTTTCTGATTGCCAGGCTCAGAGTCAGCCGCGATACAGATCCGTGGAGCATCCAGCGCTGCTTGAGGATGATAGTTGAATGCAAGCATGTTGAGAAGGACCTGGACATGGCCCTGCGGCTGCATGAAACCACCCATGACACCGTAAACAGAGTGAAGAGAGCCATCTGAGCAGTTGGTGATCAGCGCAGGAATGATTGTATGGTATGGTCGCTTTCGTGGAGCCAAAGCATTAGGATGAGCCGGGTCTAGAGAGAAGTTGGCGCCGCGGTTCTGTAGCGTAAAGCCACAACCTTTGGGGATGATACCACTACCGAATCCAGCATAGTTACTGTTGATGAAGGAAATACCGTTGCCCTCTTTATCAGTCACAGCGAAGTAGACGGTATCGCAGTGATTGTGAGCTGGACTACCGTGATCAATGATGTCTGCTGCTTTCTTCGGGTTGAACAGCTTCGCGCGTTCAGCCAGGTACTCCCTCGAGACCAGCTCTTTCGAGGGTACCTTTTCCACATCTGGATCTGTGACCCACCATGAAGCATCGGCGAAAGCAATGCGAAGACTTTCGATAACAGCGTGAAGGTACTCTGTCGAGTTGTGCTGATCCTCGGTAAATACAGGAATCTTTCCCGTACGTTCGAGTTCCTCAAGAATACCCAGGGCCATGAGAGCAACGATGCCTTGGCCGTTGGGTGGGTGCTCCCATAATTCCACCCCTTGGTTTGCTTCATCGTCTGTTCCAGCGGTCTGTTTTTTGACAATATCTTGGCCCGTGAATTTGAGTGAGATAGCTTCAGTATTCTGTGTTCCGGTTTCAGCATGATACTTGAGATCATCCAGGGTCATATAGCCACCCAGGTCCTGAACGACCTTGACCAGCTCTTCTGCAACTTCGCCTTCATAGAACCCCTTCTTACCCTCCACAGCAAGCTTTCGGAAGGTCTTCGCCAATGTTGGGTTCTTCATGATTTCACCAGGAAGAGGGCTTCTAACACCATCTTTGGCTTTTGGATCAGGCTTGAGCATCTCCCGAAAATTTGGAGATGCATTTCGTAGCAGATCCTCACTCTCACGCCACTTGCATAGCAGTCAGAACGGCATATTATACCACCAATGCTGGACAAACGAAAAAGGATAAACTTACAAAGTAGGAGGACAATTCTGACACCGCGAATCCTTGCTCACCCAATTCAATTGCTGGCATCAGAATCTGCTCCAAGGACAGATTGCCACTCCCATATCTCTCTACTGTGTCTACCCATCCAGCAGCTGCGCCGGGGGTAGTCACCGATAGGACGCTGGTCATTGGGATGCTCTTCTTCTCATCGGCACCGATGTTCAAATCCTTCCTGATCTTCTCGAGCGTCGCGTTGGCGGGATATCGGCCAGAACCGTTGAGTGAATGGACTTTTTTTGACTTTGCATCATAGAAGAGACAGAACATGTCTCCACCAATCCCTGTTGATGAAGGCTCGGTGATATTCAATGCGGCGGCTATTGTTGAAACAAGTCAAATCTGGTCATCGTCGCTCATTGCAATCAGCACTTACCCACTGCTACAGCAGCGTCCTGGTGAAACATCATAGTCAGTGGAGCTGCTACCCGAAGAAATGTCTGATTCCACACATACCGCAGCATTTCCTCCTTCATTCAGGATTTTATGGCCCGCAGCGGCCGCCAAAGGTTGCGTACAAGACACAATGCCTTTTGTACTGTGGACGGTGCTTCTTCTGCTGGCAAACGGGACAAAGTCGGGGTTCAGTCTGGAATAAATAGCGTGGGAGTTGAGAGGCATCTTGAAGAGAAACGACAAGGGCAAACGAAGAGTAAGTAGGCCGTGAGCTTGAGCAAGGAGAAGATGGTGGTTGAACAATGAGGGGTGGACGACTCTTAAGTAGGACAACAGATGAGGACTACCATAGGGATCTACTACTATCGGGATGCTCCGCTCCTTTGCGCCGTCCGCTTAAGTACGATCATAACCTTATCACCAGCTTGTCATTATTTGGGAGGCTGAATTCAGGAACACCTTTTTGACATTGGCAGAAGAAAGAAACGCAACGTTTATTGAGATGTGCCATGCTTAGAGTATCTTCCTGTCAGCATCAATACCCTCCACTGCCGGCATCAAGTGCCTCGATTTGGCTTGTTCTCGACGAAGCGTTGGACATCTTCCCGAGGAAAAAGAGGAAGATGGAGAAGTTGGGGTCACCTTCCTCTTCGGGAATGAGGGGTAGCTGTACTGCTTCTGGTTTAGTGCGGGAGAGATTCGCGTGACTTTTCCGATAAGACGAAGGGGCACTGGCGTCATATCATAACCACCTCTCGCTGAGACGCTGATGCTCTGGATAACCCAGCAGTATTGTCATAAAGATAGAATCTCAAGTGTGTACAAAACCTCAAACAGACCTTCGTCACGCTTAAGGTCTTCCGTTCACCTTCGGCTTCTCCATCCCCGAAACGAACCACTGCTCTGGACCCGTCGCCCCGCGCCGACAACGGAGGGATCATCCTCATCCGCATCATTCTACTGTATATTCTGCACGGATGGCTGCTATACAAAAGTGATGGCCTTTCCTCATTAACTGTGTGGTAGCTGTCTATATTGAATTTGATCTTTCAATGGTTCTTCTGCTCCAGACTGAGTCTGCCAACTGTGGGGCTGCCTCGAGCCGAGCGCGTCCTCTTTCTCGCCTCTGTTTGATGGCATAATGGTGGTGTTTGTTGACCATGACCACGATGTCTTCAACAGGCATCGCTTCCTTGGAGCCCACGATGACACATATCAGGCGTACCTTTTGCCCGATAAGCCTGCGCTGTCGAAGTTGAAGGGTATCAGCTCTGATCCGTCAAATCTTCCTGAAAATGATCATCCTGCTGATTCAATGCACGGTCGTACAAAACATGACGGCTCTCATGAGATACTGAATCGAAATGGGTTTTCAGCTGCTTTGAGTTGCTATCCGTATGCCATGCTGACCGATCAGTTTCTGCCAACATCTCTTGGGTGCTGACTGAGGCTTCAGAATTGTCAAGGAAATTGCCCGACAAGTCGATCTCAATACCCTGTATGCCCTCTCCCGAACCTGCCGTCAGTTCTATGCCAATCTAGCACCATATCGCCATCAGCTGGTGAAGCAGACCCTTCGTTGTGAGAACGAGTATATTGAAACTTTGTCGGACCTCTTGGATGGCAGTGCGGCTATTCCTGACAGCGTGAAATCTGTGCTCCGACTTGTGAGTCAAGGAACCCGGACTTCCGGCAGACTGGTCAGGGGTAAGGTTGGTAGATGTGCTCGGGATATGGTAGCGGAGTGTCGGAGATGCTCCAGGATCGTATGCAGGGTATGACTGAGTCGAGCATGTGCCAGTGATAAGCCTACTAATGGCATCCGCAGAATTGCGCCATCAAATCCCCTACCAGAAATATGCTCAAAAATCGCGTTCGTCGTCTATGTACCACCTGCCAAACGGCACCCTTGGCGGCCCATCTGACCTGGAATACTTCCAGTACAACTACTTCTGAAACCCAGGTGTCGCCAGACCTTTCCGTTTTCACAGCATCAGCTTTTATACATTCACCATGCTCGTGCGAAGATATGGTATGGCTTTGTTATCCATGCGGACAAACCCTACGCAGTGGTGACACTACTTACCGCCGTGTGTGGACTTGGCGCACTCGGTATAGCACATATCTTGGGGGTCTAGGCACTGGGATTGGTGAGGGATGTCAAGGGGTGAAATGTGGTCGGGAAGAGGACTGTTTAGCTGCTCAGGAGATTGAGCTGGAGGTGGAATGTGAGGCAGACGAGTCGTCACCCCCAGGAAGTCCGCACAACCATAACCACGGCAATGCACGCGGACACGGTCACCTCAGTCCTCACGATGAGCTTCTCCGGCACCAGTCATCAGAAAGACATAACAGTCGTGATGAAGAAAAACCAGGGTACTTCAGGCAGGAAATCATTGGGATAGGCGGACGAGTCAAGCAAAAAGCGAAGAAGCGTGTCACTGTCGGAGCTTGTGTTGTGGAGTATGAGGATGAACGTGATACCGGTCAATATCTAAGTCGAGAAGAGCAGGGATTGAATAGGAGCTGGTGCGGTTGGTGCTGGAGGATTATTCCATCCAAGGATGACCTAGCCACCCGCTCTATACTCTGACATAGCAAGTCCTTGTGTATATTAGCCATGAAGTATATAGGGATAGTGTAGTATACGGCATTACAACATAGTGACTTTTATGCTATTGTAATATGCAAGTGAAGTTTTCGTCGCACACAGACACAATTATGACGAGGACCGAGCACTTGTTAAACATGTAAAATTCAGAGCTTGGTATTGATTGATCCGTACCTAGGTAGGACTTGATCACAGCTTATTCAAGCATATAACCAATAGCACAGCAAAAGCCAGTAGGCATAGCGAGGACAAGAAATCATCTATATCTCATGATTGGCCCTCGGCCTCTGATAATATCCATCTCCCAAATGCACACAGTATATTCGTTGACCATACAGATTCGTCCCATCAGACACGATGAATCTCGGACGACGCATGTCTCATCCTGCTCACTGGCTAAGGAATCCCACTTGTATGATACAGCACAGGCACCCTGCAGTGCAATGCCCCCGATTCGGCATCCTTTCGGTATCTCTGGGCTTTTCATAACATCCGCAGTCCGTCGTACAGCAGCCGCCCGAGCCGCGCAGAGATACCAGTTGGAGTCACTTCAAGTCAGGAATGCTCTTCGAGTTCAGAACAGCGGGGTTCGGTGGATTTTAACGGTGTTAGAAGTATCGAGAAGACGTGCTATTCAGACTGACCTTTGCAATCTCGCTTTCGTGCAAGATACCACTCGATCGTAGTCTCCAGAGAAGTGGTTTGGCTGATCTTTCCGGAGTCTCACTCCATATATCAACCTGGCCTTGTCTAGGCTGCCAAGGTTCGACAGGAGAAATGGCGTAATCATCAGGGCTTCATGTTGGTTTGGGCAGGAGTCCGCAGTCCACACTCTTTCAGAGATATCTTTGCAGCTGACGTTCTGGTCTCTGGAGCAGCTTGAGGTTGCCCTTTCTCACTACTGCAGGTCTAATCGGCCTCCATAAGCTAGCGGTAGAAATTGCTCTCAGCCCCATCTTTCAACGCGTGTAGCTCTAATAGCGTCGGTGCTCCAGCAACAACATTGTAGAAAAGTTAAGGAGAGAACGTGGTTAGGAATGACTGCGGTCCAGGAGTCACATCGTGCACGACCTTCATAGTCACGTAACGCCTCTCCCCACTAGGGCTTCCCATTTCTGTATCCTATCATCCTCTCGCTGGAAGCGGAGCAAAGCACCTATTACCATATACCCTGTGGATTTTGCGTTGATATAGAGCTTTCAGCGGTGAAGAAGAAACTAATTAAGGCAGTCAAAACTACCGTGCCTGTCTCGAGGCATAGGTGGACTCTTCTTACCAGCTGCCTGGAATAATTGCTCGACTAGCAACTCCATTCCGGGTTTATACTACTATGCTTATTTTCGTGCTTGGTTCTAAGCCAATTCTAATCAATCTTTCTACCGCTGCCTTCAATGTGAATGCTGGCTCAACTTCTTCAGTGCGGCTTCTCAGGGGCCGCTTTTATTGTTTTTCTAGCGTAAGCAGCCTCGGGTTCTCACATCATCAGTATTCAGAAACGGTTAGATCGTGAAAGGAACTCATGTGAGTGCTGATCTAGACAAAGTCAGAGGCGAGAGCTACTGACATCATCTTCAGACGGAGCTTTCTACGATCGATACAATTGCCATGGGGGAATATCATGGATCTGAGGGCTCGACGAGGACAATAGATGGAGACATGGGTCAAAAGCGAAGAGATTAAAGGACACACGCGTCGAGCTGGTCATCATCAGGACCGAGTATCAATTAGTAAACAGTTAAAGGAAGCGAGAAAGTCTATCTGCCAATGAAGCGATGAAATCAAATCAAACAGTGCGATGAATCCAAACGGTTCTATCGTGATGGCGTTTCTGTTCAGAGACACGTGAAAGCGGAGGAAAGCGGTAATTGTACAATACTTGGACATGATCGTATTGCTGCAGTAGTCTGTAAGTGAATCGTGGGTATATGCTCGTTAAGCAACATAAGGAAAGACATAAATGAAGTAAAAATAGAAGAACACCGCATAGTAACAGACCAAACGGGATGAGCACCTGAAGCCTGAATGTGGTGAGCTATACAAGACATGCGCCTGGCCATGAGCCTTTTATCAGAGGACGTGAGTTGAGGATAGGTGTTGGAGACATTGTCTGATGACACTGCTATGAAAGGTTTCTGGTTGCTGCCAGCCTTTTTTTCGTGAGATAGATGGTGAGCATGACGAGATTGCTTGCGATCAGGCGGCGCCTGCGGTGTTTATTCGGCGATAGACTCGGGTAAAATGGTATACCGACTATAGCGTCCAGGACTTCCAGGGCATAGTTTGAAAGGGTACGGCGGGTGGGAGGTGGTGGTCATCATAAGTGACATGGTGTGTGGGTGTCCATGTAGGAGAAGGATAATGACAGGCAATAGGCTGTCAACCAGTTAGCTTACAGACTGAGTAATACAGAGAGACATGAACAACATACTGGAGAGAGCAGACTTTCATTCAAAGTGATAGGAACCATTGAGGATAGATTGCCCTCGGCAGGATCCCAACACCGCAACGTGGAGTGCATAGAAACCGGCGAAGACGTCAGATCAGAGTCGACGATGCTACTTGGATACGAGTCGATCATTGTAGCTGGGGTAGATGAGAGTGAGCAACGGCTATGAGGCGGGAGAGAGAGCGTGGCGCCGTCCGAGGCGGGCGACGGGCATGTTTCCGGTGTTGCATAGAAACGAGTGTCCTCCACGGACTCAAAAACCTGGTGACCGCCATACATGGATACCTGAGGAGCTGAGTGCATGTCCATCGAGTTCCACATCAGAGAGCAGTCGCTCGCAAGGCTCGGGTGGATGGACGAGCCCACCAGGGCTTCAATGGACATTGAGCTTTGTGACTGTGTGGCAGCGAGATATGTGTTTATGGCTGGATCTATCGGCATGCACTTAGACACTTGAGGTGGTTCCGCAATAGTAGGAATGTGCCTTTCTCGCTCCCATTGCGATGTGCTCTCCATCTGTGCCTCGAGCTCACTGTGAGGTCGACTGTCAGCTGCGCCTCCAGAAGAGCCCCATCTCGATGATGAGACTTACTGTCTTGCCATGTGTCGCGTTAATAAGTCTGAACGATGGAACTCCTTTTTGCAGTTCTGATGGGTGCACCGGTATAAAGCTTCAGGCTTGTGGTTCAATTCATGACGTCTATAAGATGGTAAGTAATTATGTTGTGATACAATCGAAAGTCTATGCTACCTTCTATGTTCTGCTCTTGTAAACACCTGAAGACTTGTTAGCAGGTCCCTAACACGGTCAGATATCGGGGGACCAACCTTGTTGCAACCTGGGAATTCGCAAGCATGTACACGCTTGCCCTTCTTGGCTTTGCTGATACGATGCGTGGTAGGCGTGTAAGTGATAGGAAGAGGAATCTCTGCTGCTGCATTGCTCCGACGCATGATCACAGTGGTTTGTTTACTAGCAGCGGAGGACAATGATCTTTTAGAGGTAGAATGTTGTGGTTGAGAAGCGTTTAGTGCGGAAGATGTGCTTGAGGCGTGGATGGATGATGAGGAATGGACTGGCGATTGAGAGCAAGATATAGTTTCAGAGGTTGAAGAAGCACCTCTCAGCATGCCGCAGGTACCCAGGACAATATGTGGGGGAGGTAGGCTGTGATGTAAGTTATTATTGTCGTTCTCAGCTAGCAGCGATAAGATTGGTCGATGGCGAGGAGGGTGAGATCAGATACTATAGAGAAAAAAGCCTCGCATGCAAGTGACAGAGATGCAGCAGAGGGAAGAAAAAGAAAAGAGGCAATATGAAACTGACGGAATGGTGGCAAACGTCTGGGGAGACTGAGGGGATGGAGGTGAGAATGAGGGCGTTGATATAGATTGTCGAACCGTCGGAGTGGATATGCGAGGTACCAAGTCAGCCTACTCCAGAAGATCTTCCTCACACCCCAGCCAACAATTGGATGGTTTGATGTGAAGATGATAGTGAAGAATCTAGAGAAAAAACCTGAAACAATGGTATTATTGATGATGATTATTTTTGGTCAAACATAGAAACAAGTCATGTAAGTAAGCGAGAGGTGCAGGTTTGATGATCAATCTGCAGGGTGATCATACAAGCATGGCTATGTGCCTACTAGCTAGGTATACCTTGGATGACTCGGTAAAATTGTTATACATATTGGCAAGTTCTGCGGCTGCAGACTTAGTGTGAAACTAGAATAAAAATACTCCAGAGCACCTAGCTAAGACGGTCTTAGTTACTTTGGAATTCCAACTTGACTGCGGACTGAAATCAGTGAAGCATCCAAAGTTCAAACCTCTCCAAAGTTTAATAAATGAGATTAAAATGGTGGACCAGATTGCGGAGGTTACATTACACGGGAG